GCGAAAATCACCAGCAGCGACGACATGGCGGGGACCGCACGATGTCATAAGCAGAGCACAGGTAATATAAAGTTTTAAACTCTCATATGTGTTGAATGAGTAATTATATTTTATTATCATTATGTATTTAAAAATATACATAAAGGATCTATTGAGCGTGAGATAGGAAAGGAAAAATTATCTTTTTGCTCCTAGATCTAGAGACTAATATTTACAATCACAGCATAGCCCTCTACAATGGCGTGTAATGATTAAAGGGGAATGTGAAAGAAATAACACATGTAACAAAAAAAGTAATAATATTCAAACGTTATCATACATTTAATACAGGCGTAGGTAGGTGAAGCTGGTTGCTGCAAGGTTCGATATTAAAATTGTACAAGTGTTTTCATAATTAATGATACTAGTTTCTCGCGAAAGGTCGCTGCCAAAGACAAAACACTTCGTCGCATTATTTTACGACAAATTACGTCACTACTTTATATTCTGTTTTCGGATAATTTAACGCGCATGTTATAAAATTTAAAAATATTGTATTATGTTTATTATCATTTTTCAAAAGAATTAAGTGCACTGAACGCCGGTCTTCTGCATTAAATCATCTAAGAAGCTGTTCAAGTTGAGATTTCGTTCCACCAGTACACATGTGCAGTGCGCTTCGCCGGTTGGTATTTTTGTCAATTTGCCAATACGTCTCCCAGTCACAGACTACGGATAGGTAGCACTAGCGCTGGCCACGATTCTCATTCTATCTTGTTTTTAATTGTTTATTGTTTTAAAAACACGTTTTATGTAAGAATCTGATCACGGTCTCATCGCCATATTATGTTAATTTATTTGAAATTCTACAAAATTGATTAAATCCACATGTTTGTTGTAGATGAACAGGAATTTGACTTGCATTTAATATTTGAACAGGTACAAAACAATAATGAACTTGTAACTTCTGGGTCCTTCATTAATAGATTTGATAACTATTATTAATATTATAAAAGCGAAAGTTTAGATGGATAGATGTTTGTTAGATTTTGTAGCCTAAACTACTAAACACGTCTCGATTAAATTTGGCATAGATATAGATAATAGTCTGGAAAAACACATAGGTTACTCACTTTTGTTTTATTCATCACGAACAGAGTCGCGGGCGAAACCTAGTAAAAATACATAAGATTTAAGAATTCAATTTAAGTAAGGCGTGATCAAAAATTCTGGAATGGAATATAACATATGTTTAAAATGAGGTTGAGCTATTGTCAGGGACGTTTCTGGAACCAAATGCTGAAGTTAGAGCCTTTCACTCTTCGCCGGGTTCCATTGTGCTAATATGTCAGCCACAAGGTTGGCAAATTCAGTTTTGAAAAGCCATTTTAAAATTTATCACACTTCATTCGATCTCATTTCAAAATGAATACTGGCTTTCGCCTCCGACCGCATGAAATAAAAAATAAGTGAGTAACCTATGTGTTTTTCCAGACTATCCTCTACATCTATACAAAACTTCATCGAAATACGTTCAGCCGTTTAGGCTACAAACTCTAACAAACATCCATCCATCCATCCATTTAAAATATTAGTGAGATAATTGCTATATTATCCTTTTGTAGACAATCAGATTTTTTTATTCAGTTAAATGCTATAATTTCGTGTGACAACACCACAGACAATTCTATTTAATAAGATACGCATACGATAACGTCGGTGCGTATGACGTAGTTGCAATTAGCACTGTTCGAGTTTTACAAAAAGGTCCTTCATAACTAGCATGTTTACTTATATCATTTTACACGTTACAGAATTCACATTTTACAGATATACTAGTCATTGTTAGAGATCATGGAACTTATTCATTATTGAATTTAGAGGTCACGTGTTCATGTATGGAAATAAAGAATGCACCAACGCCGTAGGGATGGGAGAGACAGAAAGTTTACAAAAGTTAGCACTTGGAAATAGTATTTTATTTGACAACCCTTTCGATGATATTTGAATACTAGTTGTGAATATATCTACTTATTTCCAATTACAGTAAGATTATAAAGCGTTTACCTATGTTATGTTGAATATTAGGGTCCGGAATCGCTTGTGTTGTTAAAATGGAATTTCAGTAGAGTACAACCTCAGAGTATATGAGTTATATGCTAATGTGAAATGTGTATTTCTTGTAAACAAACTATTCATAACGCTGTTTACTTGAGTATGAAAATATTTGCTATGTTATTGTCACACAAGAAGTATCTGTATTATGCAAACGTAACAAACTGGTCGGTTTTCTTTTCTAATTCAAAAAGAAAGAAAGGGACAGAAGAACTCCAAGGCATCTCTGGCATCGAAGTGTATAGGTTTTAATCTAGATTACTGTCGTAATTAAGAACAGAGCGCAATTTCCTGATCGCGTGTTGGACGCTGTCAATTGGTACACGGGTAAATGGTTCTCGCGAACCGAATTGTTTAGTGACGAACATTACACAACAATTGACCCGAACATGCGAATTACACACGAATACGTAACTGAAATATATGTCACGTTGCAATAATGAAATGTCCTCTAAAGAGGTGTTATTATTTATCTGGTTTAGATGTCTTGTTTAAAAAGTATGGATAGGTAGTTAAGTTGCAAAGTTACTGTTCAAAATCAATTTTATTGGTAGCAATTATTTAAACATTTAAACTATTGATTGGTAAGAATGTTTTTCGGATAAAATGACAATTATTTAAAAACATGTCATCCCCCTCATTCACGTAAAAAGAGAAAGATATAGAAATAATGTTTTTTCATACTATATGGCGTAAAAACACGTAAGGATCGTACAAATTGCCAATTTATGACAAAAATTTAAAAAAAAAAATTATGACAAAAAAAAACAAAAATCCTAAATCTATTTTGTTTTTTATTTCTGAGCTCTTTTTAAACGGCTCTTTTTCTAGCTATCTATATAATTTTCTAATACAAACGAAATAAAAACTAGTTTTGAAAAAAAACTAAACTTTTTTTTAAAACTAGTATCAGTTTTTTTATGAATTTATTTTAATAAATTACAATCATACTATTAAATTACAATTTACAATTCATCTTAATTAATTTAGAGAAAATATATGTTAGTTAAAGTTGCCATGCTCAAAAACAATTACTAAGTAAAATATTATTTTTAATCATAATATGGCTTTGTTCAGTTGCCGGCATATTTCCAAGTATGATATCAAAAACTCTTGAATAATATCAAACAATGCTAAATATAGCGTATTTATCTCGAAAGCGAACGTCTCTCGAACGTCTTTGGTGTTCTTTTTATGCCTCTATCGAAACGTTTTTAATTAATAATCTGTGTAAATATTTGTTACTTCGATTTTTTGACTTCACGTAATTTATGTATTTCTTATCAAACCATTAATAAAGTAATTTCATTGAAATGTATCTGTTATACTTTTTTCCAACAAATGTTCACTTTGTCCTTGATTTTTTATCAAACGTGAAATTTGTGTCTCCGGGCGAATATGTGTAACCCATGGCTTCTTTTATCTCTTTTATTTACATAAACAGAAATACAAATTAATAGATAAAACTTAAAGCGACATTTACACTATTAGATTAAAACGGAAAATATAGTGTACTTTAATTGTTTCCTACAAAAAAAAATAGTAATTTGAAGCGTCCATTTAATTACGTGACATTACTACTACGTGCTTGAGAGGACAAGTTTACTTAGTGTTTTATTACTTACTGCACTTTAATGTAACTAAATTGCCACTAAGGGAATATCTTAGGGTGGACAGTTTATCTTTTTTTTTTGATCAAATAAATGTGAACTGTCACCTCCCAAATAAAGTTTCTGTTGGCTATTGATCACAAGTCCAGTGACACTTGAGTTAACATTCTCATCTCTTTCATTCTCATTGACAAAACAGAAACAGCTATGTTTATTATTAATACAAGTATTGCTGCAATCGAAGCCCACAGTTTACAAACTACACATCGACATTAATTCTAGTCATAAAACGAATCGGACGTTTATCCGTTGTCGATGTTTACGGTTCAGTTTGGCCCAGTTCGTAACTTTCGCATTCCAACTGAACATCAATTGGTGGCCAGTCTCTCACCAATTTTTTTTATATCGTATGGTGGCAAAGCAAGCGGCCACTTGAATCCGCCAAAATGGCGAAGCGACCGCTGCCTATAGACCTTCGCAATAACGGATGCGTTGCCTACCCTTGATCGACGAAGGAAACGCATATAAAGAGGATATTTCCCCTTCCTATGCATCTCCTCCAGCATCAAATCCACGTTCCTTTCCCACCTTTAAACTAGTCATTTAAAGACGCACTTTTACATTAAATTATGCACAATGATAATTTAAATAAAAAAGCTATCAAGATACAAAATGGTTACAAATTGACCTATTATCGTATATTTATGTTAGACCAGATTTTAATTCATTTTTTTTAAACTTTTACCTCTATTTGGAGTAAGTCAATATTTGATTAAATTAGTTTCTAATTCAGGCCTTATTTGATATGATAATGATATGTGGTTTTCTGTGAAAAGTTTTTTAATAAGATGTTAAATCTATGATTACTATAGAAATGGTAATTACTAAGAAATAATTTAAAGATTTCTATTTACATTTTTAACTGACTACAAAAAGGAGTTCTCAACTCTTTTCTACGGTAGTTATTCTTCGGTTATTATTTGTTGTCTAGTTTTTTCGGTGTTCCGTATTATTAGTTTAATGTGGGCAATAATCTTTGGTGTATGACACACATTTGAGTATAACAGTAAGGCGCACGCAGTTCGCATTGCAATCGGCATGAATGCCTAACAGGATGTGATTCTGGTATGCACGTCACGGACCGCTGTTCTTACTAAAACTACAATGTTACCGTGCATTGATCTTCAATGAAAACTTTCAAACTATACACTGTATACTAAACGAAAGGAAATTGTTCTTTGCAATACCATTTTTTCAAAAATTTTCAATAACTAATCATGGAGTATTTCAGAGTTTAAAAAACTTTTTTGACTCTCTTGTCGCTAGCTCATCAAAATGCATCTTAACGGAAAGAGAT